GTGATCGGGGTAGGAGTTTGTTTCTTTATGAATTAGTTATAGGCAACTCACTTGTCCTATGGAGCTCACTAGTATATTTTTTGACCTTATTAGTGTATTTTTTGATCTTTTTAGTGCACTTATTGACTTCAGTAGTGCATTTTTCGATCTTTCTAGTGTACTTTCTGACTTCAGTAGTGTATTTTTTTGACCTCAGTAGTGCTCTTCTCGACATCAGTAGTGTATTTTGCAACCTCAGTAGTGCTATTCCCGACTTCAGTAATGTACTTCCCGACCTCAGTAGTACAGTGTATTTTTTTTACCTTGAGAGGATATATGCCTACTTTCCGGACCCACTATCGTTAGAGTTTCTCGGTCTCATTATTAGTTGACCTTCCTGGTCTCATTATCATTAGACCTTCCCGGTCTCATTATTAGTAGACCTTCCCGATCTTATTATTAGTAGACTTTCCTGGTCTCATTATTAGTAGATCGACCTTTTCGGTCTCATTATTATTAGACTTCCCGATCTCTAAGCGTCCCTCCACGTGTCAAACCTCTAAGGACACTTATCAAGCATAGATTCACCGTCCGACCTCCTTAGGACACGTGGAGGAAATGTCGATCACTCGACAAGGATGTGTCCCCTCTTCCCCTGTATATATAGGACATTTATTGCACCTTTGGTTCCCAACCTACTCTACTTCACTCGGAACCTCCCGACCACTATGGTCAAATCCCTATATAGATTCCCAATCACATTATTTTATCTTCTAATAAATTTCCCGGTCACATTCAACCTGGTCCGAAAAAATTATTATACTCTATCAGTCAAATTTGATCAGGCAATTCCAATCACAATCAAAATATCCTGAAAGCAGCCATCATAAGGGGATTGATATCAAGAATGAATATCTAACGCTTTACTCCTAACTTATATATGTTGCATGGAAACGAAAATGGAGAAACGAAAAACAGGAAACAACTAATTCAAAAAAAAAAAAGGTAAGAAATAAAACCTAGGGTCCCAACAAATTACCAGCTTATGGTAGATGACCCAAAACTCAACCAGTAAAATGAATGTTATACCCATCTTGTACAATTGTTATACCATGGACCATGATTTAGATTGCATTGCGAATCTTAATACAAAAATTATGTACCTCTAGTTAACACATTTTGTACCTACAGTTAACAGTTTTTGTACATATAAACAAATAACTTAATAATTGTTGACACATAACATGATAGTTACAGGTACAGAAACTATCAATTGCATGTACATAATCTGACATGATAATTGCTAACACATAATATGATAGATACAGATACAGAAACTATCAACTGCAGGTACAGAATCAAAAGTTTATTTTTCGATCAAAGTCTACAATGCGAGATAGTACGACCCTGGTCCATAGTATAATTTGTCCACCTAGTACGTAAAACCTCCCAACCAAACTCCTTTAACTAGGGGTCGGGGTAGCCCTAGTTGGCCTCTAACACTCCCATCAAAGTTAAGCTTAATACATGGAGATGTCCGATCCGATCCCCACCACAACCAGCCTTAATTGGTTTCTCTCTAATAACGTACACTCCCATCAATCTTAAATTTAACACATGAAGATGTTAAACTAACGTTACTTTATTTAAACAATTCATATATAGCAGAAACTTAATCATATTTTAATAATCATTTCTCCGATTTTAATTATTTTTATATATATTTTTTTCAGTTCAAGAGCTTAACTAAACTAAGTTTATATATGATGCTAACTAACCTGCCTCAAGAATCTATGTGGAACAGTTCAAATACTTTAGTCTTTCTAGGAACAGCTACTTAATCACATGCTACAGATTAACACAATATAATACAGCTTTTGTAGGGGTTAAGTTCATAGCAAAGACAGCTAATAACACTACATACAGTCAGATAAGAGTGGAGTTCAATTTTTAACATTTTTTTTTGTGTGCTCCAAGCTAAGATTGTTCTGAGCTTCTGAATTGTGAAGGGTCAATTAATACATACAGGGAAGATAGATACAAAGTGCATGTAATGAGTCAGTCCATGTGCTTAAAGACAAGTGAGAGAATATTATCTGATATTATACCTCAATTAGAGAGGAGTCAAATACTAATTTAATGATGAGATACTTATCACAAAAGTGTGAGGTAGATAGCTACTAGTATGTGGTCATCTCCTCTACCTAGAATCATGATATGAACATGCATCAACCCTGAAAGGGTCATTAAGTGTGTGAAACATGATTCTAGTACTTAAAAATTACAAATTTAATTCTTGTCAACACTCTCTTAGTTGAACTCGTCACATAAGATTTTTCTAATGCAATTTTCTTTTTCTGTGTGATTTGCGAACTATGTATAGTTTACTCAATACACACCCTTGGGTAATTGTTAGGGTTTTCCTTGCCACCCAAAAAAAGAAAGATATGGAACATCAACTCCGATCCAAATCACAATTTAATTAGTTGACCAATTCAAAATAAGTTCAGTTGGGCGTCAATCAGGTTGGTCGAGTTCAGCCACTGCTCGATTCGAGATGTGACGTTGTGGCTTACCATGGAGGGATGTGGTTAAATGGTTAATGTCTACCTACTTATCGCCAATTAATTTTAAGTAGGATATGACAACCAGTCAAAAGACTCTGTGGTTAAGCATGCTTAACTTATAATAATAACAAGATAGGTGACTAGGAACATGATAGGTGACTCCTTGGGAAATAAGCATAGTGCAGCGTTGAGATCCATCAAATTCAAATCTCATTGAGAAAAGCACCTAATACATTAAACGCTTACTAGTACATCAAAAGTTATAGCTAATAATGAAATCGCATGCAACTTTATTCCCTTATATGGTATAATAGTCATCAATGACATATTGCAATGTTTAGATGCTAGGTTTGATCCTTTATGTCCCGCTCAACAACAAAAAAAAAAAAATGTATGAATTTTCGAATTTGAAAAAAAATTATTTCTTATTACATTATTATTTGGGCAATCAGTTTCTTACATGTCCCCTATTGCTTCATGAAGAACCCCTATGCACATGCAGTCTTATAAAGCTTTGTAACCAGTAATATTGGCAACGAATAATACATGCTTGTTCTAATCATTGACAAGTTGGTAATAACCCAATCAAGTTTCAATGATAGGAACATTTTGAAAATAGCTACCATTGCAAATAATACTAAGATCAGGATAAGAATAATCCATAATCTTTGTTTGTTTATGTTGAAAGTGAGATAGAATGATTGCTTTTCTTGGTGCAATAAACTCAAAATAAGAAAAAATTCGTATATAGTTTTCATTTGACTATTCACTTAAAAGAAAACGATAATATTGTCCTCATTAATACAACCAGATTGATCAATAAAAGTTATACTTTGACTGGTCTTTAAAGGAATCTATATTTTTCATTAATATATATGTTTCATATGAAATTGAAATGGATAATATTATTGCGTATGCACTTTTAAACAACTTTTTGCGTTTGTAATCTTATAACTTTATTAAAGAGCGAAACCAAGATAAAATGTTAAGATAATGGGTACTCTTGATCACAGAATTTGCCATAGAATTGATGGCTAGGCCAACATTTGTCATACAATTGATCACTAGTTGGATGTTGCCATCAAAATTTAGTATCTTCACTCATTCAAGCTAAGAAAACAATTGAATCATGGAAAGTTTTATTTTGACCGGTCTTTATAAAGTAATTCATAATTTTGGTTAATATACTTCATATGAAATTGAGATTATAGGTCATATTTTTTTTCCATTTTAGTTATAGATGGTTGATAATCTTGAACTTATTAAGGAGCAAGGAAACTTAGATAAAGAGCTAATTAAGATCATGGGTGGCCTAAATCACAAAATTTGCCATGGGATTGATGACTAATTGTGCCTATTGCCATCAAAACTAAGTAACTTTACTCACTCAAGCAATGAAAATAACTGAATCACAATAAATTTTACTTTGACCCGTCTGTATATATATAGAGTACTCCACAATTTCCACTAATACATTTCAAATGAAATTAAGATTGATCATTCTTATTCCATTTTATTTTTAAATAATTTCATATGTCGACAATCTTAAACTTTATTAAAGAGTGATGAAACCTAGATGAAATCATAGAATTTATGACTAGTAGCATGTTACCATCAAAACTTAGTAACTTCATTATTAAAGTTATATATGAAAACAATCAAATTATAGAATGTTTTACTTTGACCAATCTTTATAAAGTAATTATCATTTTCACTAATTTGTTTCATGTGAAATTTTTAAGATTGATTTTTCTTGCCAAACACCTTGTGCTCAAATGGCATGTAGTGACTTCTTTCATGTGGGAGGTTATGAGATTGAGCCTTAGATGTATTAGAGTCAGTAGCATTAAAAAAATATTGATTTTTCTTGATTTAGTCCTAAATGTCTTTTTGTGCTTAATTAGGCCATCGACATTGATAGTTTTACCCAATTGAGTGCGATTGTTAGAATCAATGACTAAATCGATAAAAATTACTATAATCGAAGATTAAATTGCACAAAATTACTATAGTTGATGACTAAATTTAATATTAATAAAGGTGAAATTATCAAGCAATTTTAACGAAGGACTCAATTGAGTAAAACCATCAAAACCGAGAACTTAATTAAGTACAAAAAGTCGTTTAAGGATAAAACGAAAAAAAAAAATCATTATAATCGATGATTAAATTGAGTATTAACGCTATAAAAACTTTGTAACTTTACTTGTCAAAACAAGAAAAACTTTATCGACTATCCAGTAGTGGATTGAGACCATAAGTAACCCTGATCATAGAATTTTCTTGAACTTGATAACTAATTGCCTATTACCATCAAATCATAATAACTTCAGTCATTAAAATCATGAAAACAACTTGACAAGTAAGACATTCCTTACATTTCCAGCAGTTCATGTTATGTCAAAAGACTTTTCATATCATGTACACCCATCACAATCTAAAGAGTCATTTTCTCACTGAAAGATTGCATTTTTGATTAATCTGTATGGGTAAAAAGACATAAAACGCCTCATCATCCTAGTATACAAAACGCCCAACCTTAACAAAACTCCTTGGGCTTTTCTGGAGAGGGCTAACCAATCCTAAACTACAATTTAGGATAACATACTCTAAAACTGTACTTTCTTTTTTGCTTTACACACTTAATTAATTATACACTACTAACAGTCACTTTCTTTACTTTTTTGTCCTACTAAACTTGGGTTAATTATGAATTGTCGGAATAATAGAAGGCCGGATCGGATATCATGCCAGCATTTATCCGTTGAAACAGATGAATCCCGACGTGATATCTCGAGAATACTTAGGGACTTTTTGGGTAATTAAAAAGTAGAAATGCATCGTCGATGTGTAGGGACTTTTTGCTTCTTTTGTTTCAGATCTTCTTTGTAGACTTTGCTGATGTCTTGTGCTATCTTGACTGCATCAGCCGATGCACCAGAAAGCCCTCTCCTTGTAAACCCGACGGCGTATAGCCCGGATTTGCCCTTCCAGCTATTTGGGAATGGTGCGTTTGGGTATCCATTTTTGGAGAAAAATTCTGATTCCTGAAACGTTAACATATGGAAACATCATTAGTCATTTAGTCCTATGTTTTAAAAATTGGAAAATCCGAAAAAAGGAAAAAGAATATGACCAAACAGGACTTAGTCGCACCTGAAGCCAGTATGGAACATTGCTACGGTATCCGGTGGCGAGAACGACGGAGTCGATTTCGAGGCGTTCGCCGGTGACGAGCTCGACGGTTCCGGCGGAGAAATTCTTGATTCCGGCGACGACTTGGACTTTTCCGGATCTGATCTTTTCCAATGCGCCAATGTCGAGAACAGGGGTTTTCCCTTGTGTGTTCTTGAGTTCCAGTGGGCCAGTTGTGGGGCGTTTTAGGCCGTACTTTTCGATGTTTCCGAGGATTATCCATGCCAGTACGAGGAGAATCTTGTCCACTAGCCACAGAGGAATCCATTTCATCATGAACACCGCCAGTTCGAACGTCGATTTTCCCATGATTTCTCTCGGCAATACATGAACCTGAAGGATAAAAACAGAGGAAACGTCATTAGAATCAACAAGTTTTTTTTTAAGGTTAAATTTTAGAAATTTGTTTGTTTTTTATTTGAAAAAAATTGAAATGATATGCTTACCGAGCTCCGGCAGACCATGGCGGGTTTAGCGTCGTGATTGCAGAGGTCAAGAGAAACTTCCATGCCGGAGTTTCCACAGCCGACGACGAGAACTTTCTGGCCGCGGAACTTCTCGCCGGACTTGTAATCGCAGGCGTGGATGACCTCGCCGTGGAAATCCTTGAGACCGTCAATTTCCGGCACCACCCGGTCCGCATTCTCGCCGGTGGCGACGACGAGCCACTGGCAAATATACTCGACCTCCTCGCCGGCGGGAGAGGCGGTGGTGACTCGCCACACTCTGCAAGCCTCGTCGAACTTCGCCGACATCACGCACTCATTGAACTGAGGATTAAGGCCGAAGTGGGTCGCGTAGGATTCGAGGTATTCCACGAAGTGTTTTTTGGTCGGGTACTCCGGGAAGTGGTCGGGGAAGGGGATTTTGGGGAGCTGACAGAACTGCTTAGGGAGATGAAGTTTGAGGCGATCGTAGGTGCGGTTCTGCCACAAGGAGGCAATGCAATCCGCTCTTTCCAGGATCACGAACGGAACTCCTTGCTCTTTCAGGCAAGCGCCGACGGCCAGCCCCGACGGCCCGGCGCCGACGATCACCGGCCCGTTTACCCACACGCACCGGCGGGCAAACAAATCTTGATTTTCCGATGAGAAGCTGAAGTTAAACATTTTTGCTCTCTGGGATATGATTGTCAAGAAATGTGTGTTCGTTTTTTGTTGTTGTGATTTGTTTGGAGATTGAAAGGAGAAGATTGGGTTTGAGGTTTTTGTTAGAATCGGAGAAGAGAATGAGAGATGTTTGGTGAATTTGATCGAAGGAAATGGAGGCGAAGAATGGGTTTAAATAGAGAGAGTCCGTAGAGCATTGTAAAGTGCCATGTGAGCTGAGTTAATACTTTGTGTGGGCCACTAAATTATATGCTAAAGTATTATTATTATTATTATTATTATTATTATTATTATTATTATTATTATTATTATTATTATTATTTTTATTATTATTCTTATTATTATTTGGTATTCAAAATAGTTTAAAACAGGAAAAGAAAAACAGGTTAGCTTATTTTAGGAAAAATAGCATTTTTGCCCCTATATTTATGTGACATTACAATTTTAATCCTCTGATTATTTATATGAGTATTAATTTTTCAATATATTTATAAATTGGCTACTCTGATCTATAAGTAAGAAAAAAAAACTTAATAATCAAATATAGAAATGGAGCCAATTAAGATGTGTTACATCAAAAGGTAAATATTAGGATAGAGATAAGTTTAGAAGTAAAATGTATTATCACTCAAATGCGATATGATTATTTTTAATTTTGACCGCATAACTGTTATTTCACTTGTGCGTTTAGTCCTGGGTATTATCTTTATCATACTTGGCACACAATTTTTATTTTAAAACCACATTCATTCATTCTGACCAAATCTTAAGTAAAAAATTATCAGAACACATCACATTTTGAATTCAGAACAACACCTCTGGTGTTGGAGCCGTTGGTAGAAAACAAATAATAATCAAATAAAATATGACTATTATTTTCTGGAAAGAAGGGAAGAAAAGATGAAAAAATTTGGCTAGTGTTTGGTGTTGGGTTTTTGCAAGAGTCAAGTGATCACTCTTTCCTTAAAGCCTTATTTGCCACCTCCCAAAGATGCTAGGAGCTTTGTGGCCTAGGCTTCCCAGGATAAAACTTGCTAGTAATTCAATGTTTGAGCACTCAATCAAGGAATCCGGCGAGCAAGACGAGGTTATGAACACAGTATGGCTAAGAGAAGGAGTAGAACCAGAATTTTGAAGGTGGAAAACAAAGTTTCGTGTAGTGTGCTTGTTGTTCTTTTTGCTTTTATTTTGGCATTAAAAGGCGCCCCCACAACTCTTGTAACAGCAACCACTACCTTGAGTTTTAATTCAAAATTAAAATTGGAATTAATTTCAAAGAATTAACTCCGTAACAGCTGAATTAAAACCCCAACTGTCACAGAAGGAGCTTCAATTTAGCCACGAAAAAAAAAAGCCGAAGTCACCTCAGTGGCGTGGCTCTCTGTGTTTCGTGCCGGCGCACACGAGCTCGGGCTTGAATCAAGCCTTTTTCAATCTCTTCTAGTTGGAATTTGATTTGCACCCCCCCCCCCCCCTGCGCGAGAGAGCCTCTATGCTATACAATTCTACAAGCTTCAAAAGAGCTCTTGTATATAAGGGGGGCAAATCCTCTTTCCAAATCAATGTGGGACAAAAGCTCACTTTTTCCCTTCATTTCCCAACTAAAATGGGTTTACTTTGAGAATCAATATCTCATTCACCCATTATCCGTTTTGAGCGTACAATATATCAATATCTTCGTCTCACTACGAAGAATCCGAATCCACTTTGACCCGACCCAAATCGGAAGTGGACCTCACTGATAATTGTACTACAAAATAGCCACTTAACATGTCATTTTATGCTATTTTTTAGCTATTTTTTCCAACATCTTGAACTCCCTGGTCTTTACTCTTTAGGTAGTGAAAATGTATAGTTTTCATTAACAAATATAAAATATGTTTATTATTTTGTATAAGAAATTTTTTTAGAAATATCCAAGTGTAATAAAAAGATATGGAGTAAAAATTATATACCAAATGTATCAAAAATAATACGAACTAAATGTGACAGTCACATAATAATCTATCGAAAAATCAAAAATAAAAATAATTTGATCTAACATTGGAACTCACATGCTACTTGTCATCAAACCACTCTTACACCTTAGCTAGGTAAGTTGGTGATGTGTGTATAGGGATGCACCAAAAGGGCAAATAAGGAGTTCCATGAGAATAGGAAAGACATTAAGCCAATTATATTAGAGGAAAGGAACATTTCGAGATCACCAACACTACCTTAGTATACACTGTACTACTTTACTCAACCCCCCCCCCCCCCCCACCCACCTTGTTCACCTTATCCAACTTGCTTGTACTCAAATACTTCACAATTATCTGTGTACTTAGCTCAATGCATTGAACCCTAATCAATAACTTATAAACAATAATGACATTTTTCTACCGAATAAAGTGACTGAGTGACTGAAATATAATTTTCATAATATATAATTTACGACCCATTACATATTAGCGAGCGCAACAGTCAATATTGTGGTGGACTTACATTTTAAAAACCAAGCTAGCAACTAGCAAGCATATTGGAATGCATGTTATCATGCATTATTCAACTTCAATTCCATCAACCCTCCATTCACACATACATGCACACTTTGGATAAGGACAAATAAGGTAGTTTGGAAGTTAAATCAAGATAGTTATGGTTACGATATAGTTAGGCTATGATCGTTATTATCATATTTTAAATGCATTACTTCTTAACATACTCAATTTAACCATAATAAACCATCAATTTCCTTATCTTAATAAACATGTTAATTAATAATCTATGGGACAAAATATACTTATTCCTTACTGAAAAAGTGGTGTTATATATGTAGTACAAGCATGCACTAGTGTTGTGCAATACAAAATTGTGTAGTACTTATGCTACCATCGGAGGGTACGTTTGAGGAGTAGTAAGCTCCCTGTCAAGCTAAAGTTCCATGCAGTATAATTCTACCTAGATGACAATGAATAATGAGATCTAACGGCACTCATATTTCATGCAAAATTATATTCAGTATTATCTTTTATATACCTAATATGTTAACAATTTCTCCAATATTTTATATACATATATGAATCCATGAACTAAATTCTCTTTACTGTATACCATTTAATATTTATATTTTAACAAAATTAATTTTATCAATTATAAAATATATACTCACAAAATTAATTTCTACCAATGGGAATAAAAGAAGAAGGAAGCATGTGATCAAACCTTGGTTACATGGAGTTTTCTCTCCTTTTCATGGAAAAAGATTTATGTGGTAGATACCTAGGGTTTATAGTTTGGCCTTTCTAATTGATCATATATGATTTGTATGTCACCTAGCTAGCTAGGTCAAATCTGATTTGGATTCAATCAATTCATTCAGAGAGAATTAACAAAAAACTAAATTGAATTATATTAAATTTTCAAATATTAATCTTAAACTTTTAAATTAAAAGTAATTAATTAACAATAATTTTCTTAACGTGTAAAATTCTAAAAATTTATTATTGTTATAAGTGAAGGTTTAGAGGGTTAAATCTAGCATCATGTCATCAAAATGTGAAATCAACTATTACACAAGTATTATGAAATAAAATTTAATGTCATTAAATCATGTATGTCGTTCCCTAAAATTAATTACCGACAAAATGTTAAAAAAAAATAAGAAGTAAAATAAAACTACGTGAAATAGAAAATATAGAGTTAATTTCACCAGAGGTCCTTTGTTTTTGGGGGAAATTCTAAATTTAGTCATAGACTATCGTTTTTTTCATTTAACATCTCAGACTATTATTTTATGGACACTTTTAGTCATTCTCATGACTTTTCCTATTTTTAGTAAGGACACTTTTGTCTTTTCATATTTTTCTTTTGTTATTTTTCTGATTTCAACTGGTTTAATTGGTTTAGGACTTTAGGTAACCTTTGATGTTTAGTAATCATATTTTTCAATCAATTTGAAGTAAAGTCCTAAATCTATTAAACTGATTGAAACCGGACAAAAACAACAAAACAAAAATATGAAGAGACAAAAATATCCTTACTAAAAATATATGAAAAGTCATAAAAAGAACTAAAAGTGTCCAAAAAATAATAATCTGAGATATTATAGGACAAAAACAATAATATAGTAAAACTAAATTTAAAATTACTACTAAAGACAAGAGACCTCTTATGAAATTAACCCATAAAAAGATATCAGTCATATCCCATGCATGATTTGGTAGGGATGTGAGGTATTATTTTGTTTGTCAATAGTTTCCAACCAGGCTTTGCCAGCTAACTAGCAAGCTCACAACCTCATTTTGGCAACCCTACTTACTACTTTTAGAAATATATATATTTTTATTTTATAAAAAAATATATTTAAATGTATTTCTTAGCTTTTTCTTCTTGTTTCTTGTAAAGTAACAAGGGTGGGCTGTAGTTATCAATGCTCCAGTGGTATTTTTCTTGTAATTAGCCACAAATGGTACTAATTAATTCAAGAAAATTAAAAGTTTTGATGAAATCTATAAGGAATTCCATCACGCGTAAAGCAAAGTTCAAGAAAGATTAATTAATTAATTAATAATTACTATAAACACTAATCCATCGAAGCTTAGCTGCAAGCCAACTTATTCACTCCGCATGAACAAAGTTCATATTTCAATGTGTACTTGTTATTGAGATTATTAAGAAATTATTTAAAAAAAAAAAAAAAAACTTTACTTTTTGAGAAATATAGTTATAATAATATTTATAAAATAAGTAGTGATTTGGTTATTGCATAACATGCATTCCCCCGCGATTAGCCAAGTAGAAATTATTTTTTTTAAAAAAAAAAAAACTTTACTTTTTGAGAAATATAGTTATAATAATATTTATAAAATAAGTAGTGATTTGGTTATTGCATAACATGCATTCCCCCGCGATTAGCCAAGTTTTATTAGGGAGTTATAGAAAACTCATAAGAGATCAATGTACTAGAAAAGTGAATCTATCGTATTCTGTAAAAGCGAAGTGAAATCGATATGTTGATAATAAAGATGAGCAATTTTCTTAATCTCAAAGTGATTGAAAACTCAATTTAACCTCATAATTAAACTCTAGATTTTCAACTACCGTTAGGTGAATGGAAACCTCAAATTTTATAACAATACATGTGCAATGAAACTATGT